TTTTTTTTTTTTTTTTGATTAATAGATGCTTTGAATATTACACAATAGGTGGAAGAATATGTTTCCTTTCAAATAGCGACTGACATTGCTGTGTGCAATTTTAATGACCGTGTGACTAGTATTCTAAGAATCATTAAAGTTCTGGAGATGGATGGATTGGTACCCAATCATACAATTTTTGCATTGAAGCCGACACTGATCGGATCGAGAAAGCTGAGCGGTCTTTGATAGATGCGACAAAACAACCACTTTGTAGCATAAAATCTTCAAGGAAAGAAGAGAACGAGGAATTTTTGAACCTGGAGTGGGAGACCAATAGAAAAAAAAGTATTTTGATAAGAGACATATGAGTTCACATTGAGCCTTTTTCACTCAACTCGTCAAGTTATATATTGTTGAGTTGAGCTGACTCGCGAAAGAAGAATAAGAAACCACAACATGGTCTAGTGAAACACAATTTTGGACCAATGATGCTGCTTGCCGCAGAGTCTGTCGAGCTAAAGTTGTCTCCAGAGAAAGACTGCGGTGTTGCCATTTTTCAATATTTAACGGTATGCTTGCTAGTCTGATTGTCTTTCCAATCTAAGGACATTGTCGCAACCTTGAAACTTTTGCGGTCCTCGTTCTTCGGTGATGAATATAAAGAATTGAAGACAACGTTTCTTCGCAGTTGTATGTTTGAGGCAAATGAAAAAATTGCGAATTTATTGAAAATTGTTTGTAATATTCTAACGGACATTTTGGGCGCAAAAGACATCGGCGCTTTACTGAAAAGAGATATAAATCTGGTCAAGGGGCATTGCTTTAAACGAACAGCTTTCGATTCTACACTCTTTTCTTTTTGTATCCTATACTGGATATATTAAGCTTGTGTGGACGTACGCAACACCCAAAAAGACTTGAGATAAATCCGGCTTTTATTATTCCGATCGATTGAGAACCGAACTCCGAACAGAGCTGAACCGACATAAGCAATGATCGGTAAATTTTTGGAAATAATTTGATGAAATTTGGTACACCGACATGTTTTGGCCCGAGGACGAAAGCTATGTGAGAACAGCTTGGGTCGGCCCACTTTTGCTTTCACTTTCTACATAACACTTTATTTTGAAAGGTCGCTACATCAACAACTGTAAAAAACGAAGTGGTGTAGGGTAATTAATGGTGGTCCGCGTCTCACTATAATGTTTTCATTTGTTTCTTCAATGCAAACGTACAAGTGATCCTGTGCGCTGCAGAAATGCTAGTAAAGCTATGTAGGAGGCATTTAATTGCATTCTTCTTAAGCGGTGGTTCGCCAACATTCACCCCGAGGCGAATACACTCTTTCTTTGTTTTTTTACTTTCTTTTAAATATAAATACTATTTAAGTTATCTTTTAATTTTTTTTTTTAAATTAGTTTTCTGTTAATCACTAAGAAACCTGTAAAATCAAATAATTTGTTTTTTTTAATTTTTCTTTCCATACGAATGAATAATAATTTCTCTCCTGTTTAATGGAATCGTAATCGTATCTCTCTTCATTCTATATATTTTTTGTTTGTGCGGAAGACTACTTCTTTTATTTTTCTTTTCTTTTCTTTTCTTTTTTTCTTGTACCATAGTTTAGCTTTTTCCCTTTCATTCCAATTAATATTAATTAATTTGCCAATTTCATGGTTAGGAAAAAGAAAAGCAAAGAATTTTACTTTTAAAAGAAATTATAAAACTATCCCTAACAATGTCAGATCATTAAAAATCATTTTGCATTTTAAATAATATTAAAATTATATAAAATAAATATATTTCTCTTAAGCCAAAAAGTTCGCGAATTTACATATAAAGAAACAATTATTAATAGTCGAATAGATCTATCTTTACATCTGTGGGTGAATTTCTTACTTAACATCCAGGTTAAGCTTCACAGAGCACAAGCATTCAAGTCAACAAATGAAAAAAATATGTTTCTTAAGGGTTTTTGTTGTAACACAAAGACAATTAGAAGCATTTTAACTTACTTTGGGCATAAGAGGAACCCATCCTTGGTTTTGGGCAACTTATGTGATTCCTTTTTTTTTGCGCTCATTTTTATGTAAATTTTTTATATTTTTCAATCCCTAACACTCTTCCGTGCAAAGAGTGAGGTACAATATTCAATTTACTCAACGGTCTTTCATACCATTCATCAAAGAAGGATGGAGGTACATAAATTCTGCATCGTTGCCTTCTTCACTTAATCTTTTTTTGAAGTGAAGAAATTCTCAGATCATAAGCATTCACTGGCTTGCAAACAATTAAGTTACCAAATGCAGTTTGGCAACACTGCGTGAGAATATGTTAGATCGCAGTTTTCAATTAACCGATTTTTGAAAACTTTGACGACTATCGTAACGTGCATGTTGCTCGGGGCACATAGGATTGCATTGACTTAATAATTAAATCCGAAACGATTTTAAGCGAACAAGAAGATCTTCACCGGAATATATTCTCTATATGATCTGCGATTACCGGTTATGTAAATATGAAATCGGAATTTTTTCATAGATGGACCTAACAACACATGTAGAGGACAGGCATACTGTTTTTTTTTTTTTTGCAGCTTGGATATTTGCGGACAATAGAGAGTCGTAATATTAATACATATCGAACTTTTATGCCAAGTGAAAGGCATTTGTCGACGTCAGATTTTATTTACCCGCTCGATATAAAAGAAAAGTCTTTCTTTATCATATCCCCACTGGGAATGAAAATTGGGTCTGGTTTAAAAATCCCAGTAGATCTAGGTGTACTATCCAAATCGACTTTGAGACTGGAATTGGTGCAACCAGACGAGTGTGGTCTCTTATTAGTTATTAAACTTTGATGAATCAGTTATTACCAAGCATTGCAAATAGCAATTAATCGATTTGAACCGTTCTCTGATCATTTAAAGAGCGAAATATTAAAAGGAGGCAGCGTGAGGACATCCGTCTATTCAAAGACATAGTGAAACTGCGAAAGGTTGCTAGTATTCGTGGTCGTCCAGTTGCAACATCTTTGCATCGACTTGACATGCTGCACGTGCTGAACAGCGCTTGACTCCTTACGACAATGTATGAGAAAAGCACGAACGAAGACTGATTTGTCTTCAAAGAGCAAGAGTTTTCCGATTGGTGGGAAAAATGTATGGCTACCAAATAAAATATTTTTCCTTTCTTGTGTACAATATCGGTACATTTTCTATACGAAAATCCCACTTTCATACGTACATAATGGCGCACACTCGTCCGTATAACCAGGTACATGCCTGGTACATCTCAAGAACATGGAGTGAAATTTTGTTATCAATCGATATCGGTCAACTGGACTATGCGGATTGTCTTTCGATATGCAATTCTAAGCAGACGTTGGAACAGGCTTCAATAAAACAAAAGTTTCGATAAAACAATCTTTTCAATGGAACGAGAATTCAGAAGAGAGTTTTTCTAATTGGCCAATTGATTCGTTAAGGTTAATGCCTGCAGATCTTGTTTCTTGCGAAATCATTGCCCCAAGCCATTAAACAAGTAACATTAACTTATATAAAACCCTGCAGCTAAAATTGTTTAAAAACTACGAAAGTAAATTTTCGAAAAATGTTGTGCAAAAGAAAATGCCAAAAATTGAATACAGAAAATGCTTTCTATACTAACTATAAAGTTTTTTCGGAAGAAGAGGACATCCTCGGTGGACATCCTTCACTTAATCCTGAATGTTTAACAAAGTTACTGAGCTAGCAACGCTAATAAATATTTTGCTTAATTAATTATTTAGTATACCCTACACCACTTGCGGTACAAGGGTATGTTAAGTTTGTGCGGATGTATGCAACACTCAGAAGGAGTACCATTCATTTCGTTACACCGATCGATTAAGAATCACTTTCTAAATCGATTTAAGTTTGTCTGTCCGGTTGTCCGTCTTGTTTTCTAATGTCGCACTTGCTGGGCGCAATTTTTGAAATATTTGGATGAAATTTGGTACACTCATGTTTTCCGGTTCAGGAATGAATGTCATCGAAAAAGCTTTGGATCCAATCCCTTTCCCGACCACTTCTCATATAGAGCGTTACTTTGAAAAACAGTAGAGTAGTGTAGAGTATTCAATGGCGGGCCACGGCCGGCTATACTATATTTTACTTGTTTTATTTACTTTTTTCAACGGGGACTAGTCGATAATGAGTAAAATCGATCGCAATTTTAATATGTTACTCGACAGCAATTTCACGATCGAAGCAATTTTCGTTCGATAGTAAGGAAAATGCATCTAGACACCTGTAAATTCTCTATTCGTTACAGGGAGTCCATAATCCATAGCTATCAAGTCTACTTGACCGAGCTTACTCGATATCGAGAGCCGAAATGTCGGTCCCCATTCTCAGCTTATATTAAATATGTGTCCTTTGCGAAAAAAAAAAAACATTACTCGATAGATTACTAGGACGATTTTATCTTTCGCATAATTTTCACTTAAATTTTAACTTTTCGCTCCTTCGTATATAAGCGTAACCTAACTTTAGTTAATTCCTGGTTTTTATTCCTCTCGCTCTCTCTCTCTCTCTCTCTTTAATGCCTATAATATATTTCCAATCCTTTAAGAGGTCATCCGGATAATTTGATTTTAAATGCATTTCGTATTGAATTTCTCAAGAAGATCAAGTTTTTATATTTATTTAATTATTTTTTTTTTTTTACTTTGTCAAAGCTTTTTTTTTTTTAATGAAAACTTTTCTTCAGGAAAATTAGGCAGTTTAGTTGCTACTTTTTTGTGTGTTTTTTTTTTTTTAAATTTTAAATTATAAAAATGTTAAATATTATACGTATTTCTTTCAGTATATATATCACATATTAGTCTTTTATTATTATTATTTTTTATCATATATATATATATATATATATATATATATATCTACATATGTTTATATATATAGTAGAAAAAAGTGTATCAACTTACTTTTTCTTGTTTCGTTTTGTCTTCAAATTGTTTAAATAAATTTCAAATAATTTATTTTAAATTATCTAACTAACATAGGAACGTCTTATGGGTACGGGAGGAGGAATTTTCGATTTACGTGCTGTTTGCTGTATTGGTTGAGTATTAGTTAAATTGGCTGCTGTTGTTGTTGTTGTTATAGTTTTCGATAGAGGCAGTTGCTGTTGCTGACAATTCGATGATATTGCTGCTACACAGGAGGGTATACGTGTAGGAGGTGTCATTTTTGGAGGGATTTTTAATTCATAGACTTTGGTTACCTAAACGATACGAACAAAAAAAAAACGGACTTTAATTTTATTTCCCCATAGTTAAATAATAATTAACTATTATTCCGACCTTCTTAGGAGAGGCTACAGTGGGTGAATGGAGAGGAGAGTTTATTCTTTTCCAACCATTGCAGCGGCGCCACGAGCTACTTTGATTGTTACCGTATAAAGTGCTGGATTCATGTAATTTTGCCGCCTTAGCTGCTAGATTACCGTTCACGCTGCCACTTCTTAACACTTTCAGTACATTATCACCGTGCTGGTGTTGCTTGTGTTGAATTCGTAGCTGTTTATGCGTAGAGACTTCCTCTATGGTAGATTGGGATTTCATTAGTTTATGACGTGGTTTACGATTTAATTCATTGCGAATGATTTGTTCAATGCATTCCTTTTCATTTATATGTTCGCTTAGCTGACATGGATACTTATTCGGTGTTTTTACAGTATTACTTATATTCTCCTCATTGACTTTCTTCTGCATATCTTCAATTTCTGTATCACTAAGTTGAGTATCGTTACTGTGCTCATTATTGACGATGTTGTCATCAATAGTCGGGTGTTCGGGTGTTGTTTGCAAAACCAATTCACGGTGAACCGTAGTGGTAGTGCATTGAGATAAATCATCCGTTTCACTTGAGGAACAACTTGTGACTTGGGCTCGACCAGCTTCACTCGGCGTGGGGCTTGCTTGTTTTAGACGTGATTTTAAGACTTTGCTTCTTAAACGTTTATGACTGGGCGTTAGACTATCATTGCCGTCAACGTTGTCGGGTTCATTATGCAAAGCCTCACCGCCACCTTCCCCGTCGTCCTCGTCGTCGTCATCGTCATCATCGTCCTCGTCATCCTCGTCATCGTCCTCCCCGTCTGTGTCACCTTCTAAATAGGAGTACATGCTACGCGCTGAATTGGAACGTATGTTTACTAATTTATAGAAATCATTTGTAAATTCTGTACAGGTAACCTCTTCGTCTTCCGAGTAAATTATCTGTAAAGGAATTTTTTTTTTTCATTTTAGTGAAAATGAAAAAATTACAAAATATTAGGCAACGAACCTTTTGTTGTAATAATTGTGTTATATTATCCGAAACGGAATCTGTTTCTACCGTAGTGGAGTTAAGTAAATCACTCGAATTCCAAATCCAATCATGTTCACTACCATTGTTTAATTTTGATTCTTGTTGTTGTTGCAGTATTTGTTGTCTTCTACGCTGTTGTTGTTGTTGTTGTTGTTGTTGTTCACGTTCTTCGTCCAAGGTTATCACAGCCAATTCTTCTTGCGACATACTCCAATCTTCCATTTCCGTTGAGCATGGCTCCGCTGGAAGCAACCATTGTTCTGGTTCCTCTGGTAGATCTTCCAAATGACTATTAGACGGTTGTGGTTGTCCACTGCTCATGGTGCAGTAGCCCTCATCGCGTCCTTTAGCGGGACTAGCGGATAATGCCGCATTTTGCGCTTCCAAATCGCGTACTCGACTCTTGAGTAAAGCCACTTCCTCGCGTAAATTGTCTTCAGCCACCAAAGCATCCACTACCTTACGCATAACATCGTCAAGGCAATGTTCGTATTGTCTTATACGCAGGAGTAAAGCTTTGTTTTCCTGTTGCAATGTATGCAAAAGATTTTCTTGGCGGGCGAAACGAGTCTGCGGTAAACAAATGAAATGCTTTAGCAAAAAACGAGGGCGAGTTAACAATATCTAACGAAATGATAGAGAGTTTAATTAATTTTAAATTTGAGTAGCAAAGACACAAACCAAACATTCTGACAGTGGTCTATTAAGTCGTCTCCTTTTTATTGCCGCGCTTATGTAAGCTTGAATCCCGTAAGTCCCATTACGCTGAGATTACAGTGCCTACTATTGGTCTTCCACAGAGTTTTATTTGAAATTAGTCTTGGAAGTATTCAAGCCAAATATATACAACGACAAAATGCAACCATTTTGGAAATTCTCAAAAAAATATTATGAAAAAACATGTGAGGAAATTATATTCATCTTCATCATCCGAATCTTTTGTACCCATCATCGTTATCTTGAAAAAGGCTAAAAGAAAGCAAAACGACTAAGTTATCGGACTCTAAAATATTGGAATTTATATAGTGTACGTGGTTGCACTTTCTGAGTAAGCAGCAAAGATGTTCATAGTTCTTGTCGCATAGGAGTATGGGCATTGTTGACGCGTCCTTTGGTCCGCTTCGCTTATTTTCAAATTCTTTTGCAAATTTATAGGCGATAATTTTATTTTTGCGAGTCGGAGGTACTACCCAGTTGGGCAAACGGGCAGACAGACACACGAACAGACGGACATGCTTGGTGCATTCAGAAATTGAAACTGTCCAATATTGTATAGAGAAAAAAAAATTAAATTTTGATGGCCTGTAACATTGAGAAGGCGCGGTCTATTTATCTCATGCTTGTACTACCTGCAAAGCAATGTTCATCCAAACTTTTATACATTTGGCTGCTATAGTTTATGAGCAATGAGCAAATATCCAAAATTTTTATATTTTTTCGAAAAACAGAGGTGAGAAATGTTCTACTTGGTAACCTTGGTAGGCGTGTCCTTCGACCGACCTGGGTCATTTCCAATACCACTCTACGTGTAAGAGCTTTCAATATTTCTGCCAAATTTTAATTGTGTAGCTCCATTTTCGCAGTCGGGGGAATGTGTAAAACAAATACTGTACAGATGAACAGACGGGCAGTCGGGCAGTCGGGTAGGCTGAAATCGATTCAGAATATGGTATTGTGGTGCTACTCAAAAGTTGTTCATTTGACTTTGAACAATTGCTTGAGCTTAATATCTTGCTGAGGATCAAGGTTTCATGCCTTGTATTACTTTTGTTTTTCCACAGCGCTGGCTTGCCCGCAACGACAGTCCAAAGGTACGGTTTATGATGTTTCTTGTTTTATTTTATTTAATATCCGTCTAATTTTTATAAGCTTTTATAAAGGACGAGGTGTATAAATGTTTGTAACGCCCAGAAGGAAGCTCCAGAGAACTCATAAACTATAGATATTCGTAACCAG